CGAAGCAAATGGAGACAAGACCCCCAGAAGAAAGGGACTGGGAAAAGAAAATAACACAGACCCCGAAAAGAACGGGGTGATAAGAAGCAAAAAGTGGAGGCAAAGAAACGAAAGGACCACCTGGGATCAATGTGAAGTGAACAGAAAAAGAACAGACACTGTCAAGGGAGAAGGGAAACAAAAGTAGGTTTTCCCCAGCCGTGGGGATTGATTATACATAGATAGAACAAGCGAAAAAAAAAAAAAATCCCCTTCCTTCCTGCTTCATTCTCTGTGTCTTGCCCTGTGCTTTGGTCTCTAAGCCCACTACTGTGGCCGACTGTCATCGGGCCTAGAGGGGAGGGGGAAATTGAGTCAGTGCATTACAGGCTCATGGGGATGCTGAGCCGGTGCTCCATCTTGAGCTGGAGCTTCTTGGTTCAGATTATCATCATGTGGAGGGTGGAGACGAGAGTTGAGGGAGAGAGGGTCGTGGAGCCTTGGCTAGTTGGACTCCTGGCTGGCTGGGCCGATAGACTACAGGAGTATTCGCCTCTGAGCCCAGGAATTGGACATATCCATCCAACCGCGGTGCATCGTCGGCTCCAAAGGAAGGATTGGCGCCCGCCACAGCGGCTGATCCGGGCGACCGCGAATTGGCAAGGTCAATGTGAATGGCTCGATGCTGAAACAATCAAGCGGAGGTCGGGTTGAGATCTCGCGGCTTGGCTGACGCCCTTGCGTCGGGCGAGCCAATGCAGGCAGAGGGACGAGAGACGCCGGCGGAGTGCAAGCGGGACAGAGTGGGTTTCTTTCTTCGGTTGCGTGGGAAAAGGGAAGCCTGGAAGGCATCGGTGAGGTACGGAGCAAGGTACCGTCGCATGTAAGTAGTACAATTGGAAATAAACCAGGATTCGTGCCGATGCATAATGCAAGAGCCTGAAGAAAGTGCTGACGCCGGGCGGTTAAAACACCACGCACGACAGTGGTCGTGATGGTCGTGATAGTGGTTGGAATTGCTCAGGATTGGAGAAATGTTGTGCTTGATCTTTCCTCACCCTCCACCATACGGCTACCTTGCGGGATAATGATCAGGGACAAGTCCCCATCAAGTTGAAACACATAGTCGTGGCCGTTGATGGAGTTGACAGGTTCGAGGGAGAGGGAGTGACACCTGACAAAGTGCCAAGTTTGCCCGTCAAGTTTCCATCTCAAACACTTCTAACCTTTTCCAGTTGGCTTCCCCCGTTCCACTCCGGATAAAGAATTCAGGGAGTCGACGAAAAGACGGGAAACTCCAACTTCATCAACCCCAAGAGTCCAAGAGCCCAAGAGTCCAAGAATAACTACGCATTAATCAATGTCTCTCTTCTACTTGAAACCGGATCTCGAGGTGTCAATGATGCCATGCTTATGATTAATGAAACCCTTTCAGTGCCAAGTTGATTCCACAAACCCTTTATTTCCTCTATCAATGATGAATCAAACAGACCATTTAAACACATGGTCAACACTCGAAAACAATATCCTAATCGCCCCGGGTATCATCCAGAAAACTATAAACTAAACCTGAACCGAAGAATTTCCTGATAAACCGCCCGCCATGCCCGACAATGCATGCGCACCCTGAAAAATCTGTGTAGAACAACCGGTACTAAGATACTAACATAAAGAGGCGATGATTTAGGCCAGAAAGCTGAGCTCATCGTCGCTGTCCTCATCGGAACAGGACATCACCGGCGGTGGCGGTGGTAGTCGTGCGCGACGAGGTCGAGTCGTTCTTCTATTCGACTCGGTCGTAATGGTAGAAGGGGTGACGGCGGAGACGGAAGCAGATATTGAGGCTCGAGCTAATCGTGCCGATTTTCTGCAGACTAGCACGGCATCTGGTTGAGTCCTTGTCGTGTCAACTGCAGGTGCAAAGCTGTTGACGATAACCACTTCGATCTGGGGCAGGGAGTGAACTCTACTGCAACCACTCGTAACAGGGGTCAGATCCTTGCTGCCGACGGTCGATACTCGCCTTCGAGATGATTGGATCATGCGGTTCTTGGCCTGGGAGAGGTCGCGGAGAGCCGTGCGAGTCCGGGCGGCTACAGGGGCAGAATCTGATTCGCCTAGCCATTCCAGCTCGTGGCGCGTAGCGCCAGAGCTTCCTCTCGTCATCTTCAGCGAGGCCGATCGAAGTCGTTTGGGCGACCGCACCTCAAAGTCCTGCTGAGCACGTTCCCTCTTGCCGGTCAACGATGGTGCAGATGATGTCACGCTGGAAGCCATCGTGTCGGACGGAGCTGGGCTGGCCGAAGCGCTACTGCTCATTGTGCAGTCCAGATTCGACGCGAGTTTCGGCCGGGCGGCCAGGGGTTTGGAGGCAGGTATGTTCGCAACCCATTCTCCAATACTATCCTCCCATCGATAAGTATCGCTGGGCTGGTCGGCAGATGCTTCACCCGCTGCAGCACTCGTTGCAGTAGACCGTGTCGCTGCCCTCTGCTCCTGCTGTGATGAGATAGCTTCACCTTGCATCTCTAATGCCCATGCGTGGTCATCCTCGTCCAAAGTCATCTCCGCCAGTAACATCGCAGTTTCGGCTGCGACTTTATCTAGCAGAAGAGACACCCCGGCCAAAGACGTCAGCCGAGCGAGTCGTGTGACCGTTATTTTGATCCCCCGAGGAGTGCGAGTCAGCTCGGATTTGCGCGCATGCCCGCAGCAATGGAACACTTGTCGGACGAACTCGGCTAACTCCTTGACCGTGTCCTGCTGCCCAGCCATTAATAGACAAAATGTATTCATGTGTTGTTCTGACAACGCATCAGAGCACATAATCAGATCGTACGGGACGTCTTCGTTAGCCTGTAGTATAACATCGCCCAACAGGACATATCCGCGACGGAGAGATTGCAGGCCCTGTGCCTGAATCTTCCCAGGTGTTGAGGCATTGCCAATGGCTCTTTGAACGTTAAACGCAAAGCGCTTGACCATTTGTCGGATTTTGATCCCGCTTGTCCTTTCGTCAGACCCGGATGCTTGCGTGCGTGTAATGAACATGCCGCATAGCGCGGTCACAAGACTAGCGATGAGATTGCTCAAGGCGTCCTGGATAGGTACAGGGCATGGAGCCCGGCCTTCAAGCCACGAACTCGCATTCGTTGTGGACGCACGTGTGTTTTTCGATCTCACAGAGCGCTGCGCAGGTGGGCCTTCAAAACGAGCCGAAACCGCACCCGTGTTCGAATAAATGCCAGCAGAAGCGAGAACGATGGCCTCAACAGCTTTTGTCGCAGCCGCGGATTCCCCGTCTCCAGCAGATACCGATTGGATCGCTCCATCAACGCACTTCTTCCAAAGGCTGGTGACCATCCATTCAGGAGGGAACACCCCTCGCGTGAGAAGCTTCGCCAATTCATCGTAGAAGAAGGATCGCCGCGAAGGAACGCGCGAGTAATAAATATGCAGCACGCGAATAGGGTCTTCGCGATAGTCACTAGCTTTGGATGGTTCAAAAGCCGAAGGATAATCGTAGGTAGCGACATCAAGCAAGCAACGAGATAACAAAGATTCAAAAGCATCGAACTCATCATGTTCCAAGCACACCTTGAGCAAGCGACAGGCGGCCAATCGCGGGATCCATCCTCTCCGGATCATATCCGAGATCAAATGGATGCCTCGAGCGCGCGCTGCTTCGCGGAGCGGCTGCCACCCGCTGTCGTTCGACGCATAGAAGGCCTCAAGCTCAGTGAAGTAAGCATCGCACATATCAACCTCCCCGTCTTCCTCAATCTCATCTTGTAATATCTGCTCCTTTGCAATGAAATCCGGAAGGCGGCGTAGTGCCATCGACATCAGCGACCGCGGTCCGCGTGTTCTTTGTGCATGTTGAGGTACAACTGTTGGGGTCTCGCGTGTGTTATTCAAAAACTTAACAAGTACTTGATCTAAATAGCGCGCGATATCCACAAATCCCGGGTTACCACAGATATCGAGAACCTCTTTCCAGGAGCCTTGATAAGCAGGAAAAGTGCTATTATTGGAGCGAGTGCCTTTCCGGTTGTCGCTAGCCTCTCCATCGCCAGTGGCCGAGGTAAAATTCCGGAAAAGCTGTTTCCTGATTGACGAGGAGGTGTCCAAGGGCCCGTGGGATCTTCCGGTAATCAGGGGAGTCGCAATCTCAATCGCGCCAGGCAACGTCCGCCGCGCCTCCGGGCTCTGAATTATTAATCGAGTCCGTCGTCGCGCGCCGTTCCTCTGCCCCCGAGTCGAGTAGTTGTGTCGAATCCGGCGGCTCGGGGGTCGTCCGGGGATCCAGGCGGGATCGTCAGGCTCTTCGTCCGGGTAGGTACAGCCTTGGTCGGTCGCAGGTTGACCACTTCGGTTCGACGAAACACTGATGCGCTCGGTGCTGGCGTTGCCAGCATTGGCTTTCGTTTTCACATCCGCGACACTGGCGCGGATCTCGTGATGCTTTTCTAATCGGTGGTAGACGGAAGTCAAAGGGCGCAACATGCGGTTTGCCCACCTCGCGGTCGGTCGGATATCCTCCATGTTGCGCCAGTCGGCTCGCGATCTGCGCTTCAAAGTCTCCGTCAATCTCCAATTCAGATATGGCAGGCACATGAGAAGGGAATCTCGTTACCGGAATTGATGGGTTCAATGGGTTTTCATAGATAGTCCATCTTTTAGCGGGATCGCGACCGGGATCTTCTTAGCGACTAGACTGCTTGCTAATAGAAGTCATGGGATGTGAAAGGAAGAGGAAGACTCCAAAACCCAAAATAAGATAGTTTGTAAGAAGATACAAGGATTTCCCATGCAAAATAAGATTGGAAAGCTGGAGTGCAGAAAAGCCCAAGAGGTATGCAGCTTTGAGAGAAGGACAAAGGTTGGATGTTGTGACCGCAGAACGTAAACATTGGCACAATCGCCGAAGGCGGTCAAGCGCCCTCAGGCCAGTGAAGTCCATGATAATCTACTAGAGGCGTTTTTCGGCTGGATCAACTTTAAAAAAATGGCATCGGTGGAAAAAGAAATGCTAGTGTTGATTTGTGTACATGAATAGACAAAGTCAGAGTGATGTGTTGAAATTCATTACGGACACATTTGGAAGGTCGCTGGTCATAAATAGTACATGGTAACACACCCAGATATAGCATGCAAATCGCCCGACCTTGCTATGCTCTGCCCGCGGAAAAGAATGAGAAATAAAGAAGTGTATAAATATAATCAACATAGAACCATGATCACCAATTGGTGTGAAAGAGTAGAGAGAGTTTTACAAAAATACAAACGTGCCGCTCATCCAACATATTGACCCTTGACAAGGATATATGGGGTCAAAATACAACATTCATGTTAAGACATTTATAAGCCAAGGAAAACAAAACCAGAGCAGCTTTTCGTTTTACCCAATAACCTCATCAGAAGAAGGAAAAAGGAAAAATGGAAGATCGAATTTAAGCGGAAGATTTCTTCGAGCCACGGAGCTTGGGGTTGCTGGCAGCGGCACGCTTCTTCTGCTTGGCCTTCGAAGAGCCTTGGTCACCACCCTCAATGAACTTGAGCAACTCATCGACGCTCCGAGCATCCAAGGTGCCATTCTTGGCTCCAGCGGCCTCGGGGGCAGACTGACCGACCTGAGGCTGGACCTTGGTGCCGAGAGTGCGGGGGGTCATGTTGATGCGGCGCAGACGGCGAGCCTGGATGTCCTTGGCATGCTTAGCGATAGAAACAGCGTTCTGAGTGAGCTGCTCAAGCCAGGTCTCAGCCTCCTTGGTGTTGCGGTCGTTGGGACCCAACTGGGCAAGGAAGATGTTGTAAGCATCGCGCATCTTGGCAACCGCACCCTTCGAGTCCTGGTCGAGGGCCAGGGCCTGAGCGAGCTGGAACAAGATTGTGGCGGTGTTAATGGACTGCTTGCCAAAGAGCGACTCGCATACAACCAGAGAAGCCTCAAACCACTTCCGGGAGTCGGAGTACTGCTTCAAGTGCTGCAGCATGACAGCGGCGTTATTCATGGTGGTGATCGAATCAGGGTGGTTGGCACCATAGATGATCTTCCACAAGTCCATAGCATGCTTGATGTAGGCCAAGGCAGTCTTGGTGTTGCCGGAGGCATGCTCGAACAAGCTGAGGTTAAGGTAGCTCAGGATAGTGTCGGCGGAGTCAACACCCAGAGTACGCTCAGTGACGATGACAGCCTTGCGAGCCAATTCGACGGCCGCTTCCTTCTCGTCGGTCTGGTAGTAGAGCATAGACAGCTGGTGGTAGAGCTTGGCAACCTCGGGGTGGAGGATGCCGTAGATCTGCTCATGCAGCGACAGGGATTCCAGAATGAGCTCCTGACCCAACTGCTTCTGGTTTTGCATGAGAGAGATACGGCCGGCTTCAAGAGCCTCCTCAGCGAGCGAGCTGCGGGGAGAGGCGTCCTTCACGAGGGGCACGATGTTAAGGATATCATCGGCGGAGATGGTGAGAGCCGGCTTCTCCTCCACAGGAGCACGAGCAGGGGAGCTAGAGTCGCCACCCTTCTTCTTGTTCTTCTTCTTGCCGTTGCCCTCTTCCTGAGCGGAACCGTTGGCACCGTTGGTAGCAGGCAACTTGGCAGGGATTTGGGACTTGTCGAAGATGAACTCGCGAGCACCAAGCTGAAGACCAAGCTTGATAGAGATGTCACGGAGAAGCTGCAGGTGGCGCAGGGAGTTGAACCACTCAGCCTCCAGATTGAAGCGGTACCGGATAGTAACCTGCTTCTCAATCTCAGCGCGGAGAGTAGCCGGAGTGACCTTCTCGAAAGAGAAGTCACCGTCGGGATAGATCGAGCGCATGGCAGCGTCAATCTCAGCGCGAGGGCTGGCGTTGACGTCAGCACCCAGGAGGCAGTTCAACAAGTGGGCAACGCAAGAGGTAACGAAAGGAGCCGGGACGTTGCGGAGGTACTGGTTGGCAATGTGCTTGAAGCCACGAGCGATCATCTCCTGGACGAGGAGGGTGGTCAGAGCGTCAAGACGAGCTCCCTTCTCCTTGGACAGCTGGGCCAGCTTGCCAAGGTAGCGGATGTTGATACCGCGCTTGTGCAGCAATTGGCTGAGAGATTGTCCGTCCATGGGGAAACCGACATCTCCGTCATGCAGATCTTGGACAAGCTCGGGCATGACCTTGGAGCGCAGGTAGTCGCAGGTCTCGCGGACTTCCTTCTCATCCTGCGCCCACTGTTCCTTCTCCTCCTCGGTCTGAGGAACCTGGCCGCTGAACACATCGGGGTTCAGAGCAAGGGAAAATCCGGAGATATCGACGCGCTCCTGCTCATTAGACTCCTCAGTCTTCTCCTCGGACTTCTCCTCAGAGCCTTCCTGCTCCTTAGACTCGGAGTTCTCCTCGGTCTTCTCCTTAGAGGCATCCTCCTCAGCCTTGGCCTGGCGGCGGCGCTCAACTTCAGCCTTGACGTACTGGCTCATTTTGTGTCTCCAGTACGACTCAACGAGTTCCAGACGCAGCACGGACATGCGGTGGGGATAGGCGTCGCTACCCTCCTCCTCCTGCCAGGTAACATCCATGGGAGTCACGCGGTACAGGTCCAGCACGTACTTGCGACCGTCGGTGCCCAAGAGACCCTTCGTCTCAACACTGCCCTCTAGTTCGTGACGCTGGTTCTCCTTGTCCCAGACAGCGTGCTTCTTAACACGAAGAGCCTTGGACATCTTCTCGAAGACAGGGACGAAGTCGGGGTGGGTGGCCACGACATCCTTGCCCTCGACACCACCATAGTCGATCTGGTGCTCACCGGGCTCCCGCTGCTTGAAAATACCGGGAACAATGCTCTGACCAACGATACGCTTGCCGAGATAGTCAACGACAACAGTGCCGGGGGTGAACAGGCCGTTGATGTCAAGCTGGTTAACAGCCTTGATACCCAGGACATCCTTGCCGACAGCAACGCGGGCAGCCTCATCACCGCCCTCGGAGGCGAAGGTACCAACACCGTCGGCACCAAAGGAGTAGAAGATGTTGTTGTACACGAAGATCTGGGCGTCACGGTCCTCAGTGGGGTTCAAGGGGGCAACCTCGCCGCGGGCGACCAGAACAGCACCACGAGCAGCGGCCTCATTGTAGTCAGCGAACAGCTTGGAGGTCAAGCGCTCACGGAAAACACGGTCCTGAACAGTATCCCGAGGAAGCTCCCGGGTTGTCTGGAACTCCTCGTTCCAGTCTCTGAGAGTCTCGGCATTGTCGACGCCAGAGATCAGGTAGTTCTCTTGGGAGCGAGTAATATCCGACTGGTGTGCGTTGGCGTTGGAGGTCGGAGAAGGCACCAACCACGGGTTGTTGGGGATGGCGTTCTGGAACGGGAAGGTAGTCAGGAGATCCTTCTTGTTGTTAGTCTCCTGAAGCGCTTCGAAAGAGGAGCTGAAAGAAGGCGACAGGTGGGCGATCAAGGAGAGCAGCGAGTGGGCCTTGCCGCACTTGGGGATGGTCTTGGGAGAGGGGTCGAACTTCATGTTCGAGCACTTGTTCACGTAGAAGCCAGAGACGTGGGACGTGATCTGAAACTGCTCGCCCTCGTTGGTGGTAACCTGGAGGTAGAGCAAGTGACCCTTCGAACGCAGGTGGTAGGGGGGAGGGTTCCAAGCAGAAAGAGAGATGGCCTTCACGGTCTTGGGAAGAGGGGTCTCGTCACGAGGAAGGATGGTCTTCAAAGATGGAGAGCTAGCAATCTCGTACTTGGAAAGGGAGTGGTCCTTGTCGGAGGTGGTCTCTTCGGCGTCAGCCGCAATGGCATCGTGCAGAGACAAACCCGCACTGAGACCATGGAGGTTATCGACACGGTCACCAGCGGCACCGACCAATTCCCTCATGCGGACAACGTGCATGCGGGCCTCCTTCTCGTTGTAGGGATCTTCCACAAGGACGATCTCGGAATCAGCCTTGAGGTCTGGTACCTCCGACAATTCAACGAAGTCGTTGATGCGCTGGCCGTTGAACTCGAGGTGGAAGCAGGTGTACTGGAAGGTGCTGGGAAGTTCGACAATGGATTGACGAACGTCTTGGACTTGTTCTTGACTCGACACCTAACGAAGGATCTGGGTTAGAACGACGGGATTTGGTGCTGGCCGTATAAAATTCCTGTAGACAAGATACCCACCATGACCTGGATCTTGTAGGGCTCGCGAGGCAACTTCACGGAGATCTGGAAAAGACCTGAAACGTAACAGCCGTGCCCGTCAGTAATCAATGTAGTTTGAGACAATTTTCAAGGTCACATACCACCGCTAAGTTCCTCCTCCTGGCCCTCAACAGGGGAGTCGCCATTGAGAAGCTGTTCGGGAGACTCTGCACGGGCGGTTGATTAGTTGGCCGAAGGCAAAACATGCTGCGAGAATGTCGGAGAGAGCAAACCTTTCGAGTGCTCCAATTCGCCATTGGTCTGGGCCATTTTAGCGGACTAATTAATGGATTGACCGGACCGTAATGAGAGGAAGGGTGACTGGAGTATGAAAGAAGCGTAGCGACCTGGCGACGACTTGATGACTCGAACCCGAAGAAGAATCGGGTAGCGGTGGAGAAAATAAAAAGGAAACGTAACGGGAGGGAGATTGAGAAAGAAAAAAAATGGAATATGATACAAAGGTATAGGAGAGGAGCAATTGAAGCAGGTGCAAACCGGACCCCAGATCCCAAAACAACTAAGGGAAGCGCAAAATGGGGAGGGGGGAAGAGAGGAAAAAAGGTAAAGTATAGGAATAGGATGGAATGAAGCTGGAGAAGCGCACACGGGGAAACCGGCCAGAAGAGAAAATTTCGCGGATGCGGAAAACCTTCGGAACTGCTCGGGGCGGTGGATGGGAAAGACGGCAGATTCAACAACATTTCTCCACATCCATGGCAGGCCATGGAATACTCATCCCAATGGGGCAATCGATATCTGCGCTGTCTTTGAAACTCTTGTACATGTAACTGCATCCAGATCATCAAGTGAATTGTCACCTTATGCGGCGATTGATTCGATGGTGCTTGCTGTACAGTAAGTACCCAGAAAATGTAGTTCCCACACACTCTCTCTCTTTCTCTCCCTGTCTGTCTTTTAAACAGGTTGGCGAACTGGCAAACTGGCAGTCACTCGATGCTTCTGCCATGAAAAAGCAACCATGGCCTTGACTAAAATCATACCTCTGAGCTATTTAATCTCCGATCGGCCGTGACAAATGCGAGACTGCCGATTACACAATTTATACAATATAGAGCTCCTAATTTGCGGGACCGGTAAAGCGGAAGGGAAATATATTTCGGCACAACAGCCGAGTATCGATCAATCTGATAATATACCAAACAAATCTGCGGAGTAAGTTACAGTTTGCACTGGTACTGGACGGCTAATCGTCGAGACAGACACAGGGTGAAATGGGTGAACATTGCGGGTGTCGTGCTACAGTAGAATCGTTCCTGACAAGGTCACGTGCCTCCATTTCTTTTTTATGTTCATCCTTATTCAGGAGGATTTCAGGCGATTGATTCCGGAACACTTGGCATTCGAGCAATCATCAATATCAATTCCCTCTTAACCTCAGAATACATATTAGACATTGAGTACCGCGTAGCTGGATACTAAACGGTCAGCCACAGCATGGTCAATGCCAAGGCCACTATCAGAATTTACGGTGCATAAGTCTCGACGATCGGAGGCGCAGCTGGCGAACCAAAGATGCGCAAGCCAATAAACGACCATTGGTTCTGCACCCCATAGATACACCTCATCTTCCTGTTGTTGGCTGAACCTTCCCGACACTCTTTTTTCCCTTACATTTTCTCACCTCAACTTCTTCCTTTCTTTTGGACCTGCTCACCGTTGACGCTCCTTAGTCCCTGGTCCGTGCATGGGCAGAATCTGTTCTTCCGGCCCAATTTTCTCCCTGCTAATTGCACTTGGCATTCGTTGCATGTAGTATATCAGATCCGTCACTTGTCCTTTGTCATACATTAATTTATCTGCGCCAACGATTGGGGGAATTCGCTCTTCTTACCTGAAAGCACAGGGTTCATCGCTCTGTTCTCGGATTTCATCAGTCCTTCTTTTTTTGCCCCCTTCGTCTTTGAGAAATCTTGCTAGACATCTCTACGATATTCGACTGGTGGAGGATCATGTTGTATCGAAATGCTTCCCGGTCCCTGAGTTCTCTCGCCCGGGCTGGTCTGCCACGACCTCCCCGGAATCATCGTTTCACCACCCCTTATGTCGTACGGAATTTCACGCAGGGGCCTGTATTGGCGAGGCCCGACTCGTTAGAGCAAAGCTCCCCCGAAGAGCCCAAGAGTCGGAGAAAGGAGAGAGAGAGGGAGACGGAGGAGGAGCCCACTGTGAGGTCGACTTTGCTGAAGATGATGGAGACAGCGGCCACGACATTCGCCTCTCTTGCAATCTTAGGGTATGGTTTGCTCGCTCACGACATGGAAGCACTCTTTGTTCGCTGATCATGTCCCTAGTCTTGCTGGATATGCGTATCATCGTTACTACAAGTATCTGATCCTGGAAAAAATGGAGAATGCTTTCAATCCTGGTGACCCTGCGCTTGAAATTGCCGGGATCGAGGAAGGAAAGCACCGGTTCAACCATGAAGAGCACTGGGTAGTCCGTGACGAGCAAGCCCGCATCGACAGGATTGTCTCTGGCCTCGGAGTCGGACGCTATTACCTGTTGGTCGGGGAGAAAGGGACTGGAAAGACGTCCATGATCCTCGAAGCGATGCGTAAAATCAATGGCGAGGGGTGCGCAATGTTCGAGGCGCACGGAGACCTGGAGATCTTCCGGATCCGTCTGGGTAAAGCACTGGACTATGAATTCCATGAAGAGTAAGCCAGCTCATGTGAAGGCCATGGCTTCGGTACTGTGATGGCCTCGACTGACACATATTGCGCATCTTACAGCTACATTGGAAGTTTATTCAGCATCAAGGGCCCCCGGGACACAACCGCTCTCCTGGATATTGAGCGCGCATTCAACAAGCTAGAAAAGGTCGCTTTGACTAGACGGCGCACGAAGAAGAGCCCCTTGATTCTGATTGTCAACAGCGCACACTTAGTTCGCGACGATCATGATGGCCAGGATCTTCTGGAGGTCATTCAGCAACGAGCCGAGCAGTGGGCCGCAAGTGGCCTTGTCACGACGAGTAAGTCTGATTCAATCTGGAGATAGTGGATCTATCGCTAATAGTTGACTACAAAAGTCCTGAATAGCGATGATTACTGGGTGTACGAACGTCTCAAGCGCTATGCGACGCGCATGGAAGTCATCCCCGTCAAAGATTTACCAAAGGAGCCGGCCATGGAGGCTCTAAAGAGATACCGTAAGCAGTATTTTGGTGAAGAGCTTTCACCTGAAGACCTAGAGAAGGTGTACGACGCTGTTGGAGGGCGGTTGTCCTTCTTGAACCGGGTGGCTAAGGCCCCCGACTACAAGAAACTATGCCAAGATATCTGCACGGCGGAGAAGACATGGTTCCTCAACAAGTGTTGGATCCTGGGCCCCGAGATGGATGATGATGTGATGGACCAGCAGAAATATGCGGTATGGTTCCCCAAGGTTCAAGATTGACAAAAGTTGACTGACAATGGTGATAGTCTGCCGCGATGGTGCTGGCCAAGGCACTTGTGGAAGAGGAAAAGAAGATGAAGCATGTCTACCACCCGGAGCTAGGCCACATCCTCCCCGAGATCCCCCTCCACGAAGCCCGGCAGATCATGACGAGAGCCGATTTCGTTCAGAGTTATGATCATGAAAACATCTTCACTATCGACTCTCGAGCCATGGTTCGAGCCGACTCTGTTCCGATGCAGAACGCGTTCCGGGAAATCTGCAACTGGCCAGGGTTCGATGAGCACTTAGAGGGCACATTGACGCGTATTGGAGATATCGAAAGTCTCGGACGTACGCGCGAATTGACGATAAAAGACCTATGGAATCAGGGCAAATACCAACTGGTCATGCGGGATGGTAAGGGCCGTGAGCAAGGCGCGGCGGAGTTTTCCGTGGTAGAGCGCGAGCCAGAGAAAGAAGACGAGTGAGGACGATTATTGGATATGTAGGTAGCCTGCGATGCGACATGCATTGCAGGCTTTGCGAGGCAATGGCCAGACCTGAATAAGTGTTGATTTGTTCTCTTCGTGACCATGGCATCATGTATACAAACGATTTGTACAAATATGGTTGACTATTTTGTGGGCAATTGTATAGGAACAGACAAAACTGCATGTAACGAATGCCTTGCTGCCTCAGTCAGCGAACCAGGGTCCTTGTTTGCATCATGGGCAGATGACATCATCCACTGCTGACCTCACCGCCCGCGAGGGCCAAACATTCCCAGCCTCATCATTAATCTTTTCTTTCTTTATCTCGTGTCTCGTGTTGTCCTTTCTCTCCCTCATTCTTTCATTCCCCCTCCATCACCCCTCTTCCTCAACTGACTAGCTTTGACTACAGGAATACCCTCGTCGCACCACCATTCAATCACCACTAACAACATAACACACACTTCTGAACAAACACGACGATCAGATTTCGAACCATGTCCCCGCGCAAGAAAGAAGTGCTGTCCTCTGTGACAATAACCCAGGAGCCCAGCGCCAGTGCGCAGCCCCACCACAAGAAGCATTTGGAGCGGATTCCCCCCCCAGCGCGATTCCTTTTGGCCGTTTTCAGCAGTCTAGCTCTGAGCTCTGGCCTGTTTACGCTCATGCCGATCGTGACCCGGGGCGAGCTCGGCAATGTGAGCAAGCACCTCGAAACCTGGTGGGAAGTGGGAGGGTTGATGGCGTGGAAGGCCGTCGAGGTCGGGTTGGCCTGGATTCTGGGATACGACAGTATGTATACCTCTTCTCACAGCATCTCCCTCTGATGAATCTGACCCCTTCGCGCAGGCCATGACGTCTGCTCCTTCACCTTCCTCACCCATCTTCCGACCTACTCCCTCCTCTCCACCTTCTACGGTGTGCGACCGACCACCGTCCTGGCCTCGTATGCGATCACCATCTTCTCAACGGTCCTCCCCTTCGCCCTCCTCCGCCGCCCCAACTCTTTCCACGACCTCGCCCACGCGAGCTCGGAGACCGTCTCCAACCGCCTCATCCTGCAGGATCGCGCCACAACCGCCTACACGACCATGGTCGCAACCGCGATCTTCACTGTGGCCCTCTCCCTCAGCTACGCCACCTCGTGGCTGCCCACCAACCTGGTTCTCCACTTCGAGGGCATCCCCGACATCTCTGCCGTGCATGCCGGACCCGCCGGCCTCCCGGCTCTCTTCGTGACTCTCCTCCCCGCTGGCTGGGCGGCGCGCGACTTCCTCTTCGCCAGCTCGACCGGCGCCTCTGCTGCCCGCGACAAGAAGGCTGAGAAGACCACAAAACCCTCCACCTCCGCGCAGGACGGCGAGTACCTCGCATGCGCCGTCTACCGCAAGACGTGGGGCATCCTGTCCCTCAAGACTCAGGTGCTGATCTCGCGCACCGTTGTTCTGGCCGGTATGTTGCTCGCCAACACAGTCATCCAGGTCGCAGGCACGGTGAACCGCGTCAGCGTGGAGGGCGCCTCGGCCTGGGGGTTGGTGTGGGCCGCTGCTGCGCTGGTGAACGGATTGATGTTCGGATGGATCGAGTCGGTGGACGGCGTATGATCTCGTAGGGACTATCTCCCCTTCACCATCATCTTCTTATGACTCCATTGAACACGGTCTCTTCTGCCGAGAAAACCGGATTTCGGTATCACATCACGTTCGCTACCAAGGGAATCTTCTCATCCCGAAGCAGAGGGTTAAATTTTCTTCTTGCGATTCTCTTTGTGCTCTTCCAGTATTCCCTTCCAAGCAAGTAATGTACGTCAGCGGGCGGAGCAACGGTGTAAATGTGCAAACCCCAAAACAGATTGAATGGGGCCTTCTGGGATGTCGAGCGAAACAGGAGTGGATGCATGCACGCACGCACGCATGCCGCATAGTTTCCGGGAGATTGTGCTTCTTTTATGGCCTTTATTTTTAATTTTTTTTTTGTTTCTTCTGCTTTTCTGGCAAGTTCATGATTTTTTTCTTCAATCATGCCAATATCCCTGAAAATATCACGTCCATGTTCTAAACTTAAATCGTCTTGCAGCTCAGGACCGAGCTCAAGCTAAACTCTCCCCTGACCCATAAACTCCAACCAAACTGACCCAGCAATTTCCGACTTGGTAGCTCGAAGCTCGAAGCTCAAAATCTGGGTTCTAAGCTTCCCCGTTAGAACTACTCCGTACATGGTATCAAGCCCCTAGTGCAGTACACTACTAGGTGCCTACACCCCAGGCTCAAGAATCAGACACTCAGCAAGAGCACAGCAGTCTGTAGGACCCTACTTACCTACCCAACCCCGAATAACAAAACCAGCACCCTCCAACCTTCCCCCCTTCAAAACCAACAATAAACCCAAAAAAAAAGTTGTACGTACCGGACGCCGTTGCAAAGAACCCCAAAAACCGAGACGATCCGAAATCAAAGTGGGGTGAAGGGAACATGGTCGATCGGACTCATGTAGTCTACGGAGTAGATAACCGCTATGTAGATCCCAGAAAAGAAAAATAAATCCAATTTTTGGGGTCATGTGTCGCAATCACGGAAAGATGAAACGCCACCCGATCACTGATCACCGATCGAATCCCCTGGTTTTTGCGGATAAAGTTCCCCCGGGGGGTTTGTTGCATGTTCTATCTGAAACGGATGTGATTGATCCATTTTTTCAGACTCTTTTTCTTTTTGGCTTGGTTGAGTTGTGGTGGTATTTTGTATGTAGGGTTCTTATGGCTAGCTATCTGTTCGTTCTGTATTGAGATAATGACGGGGTTGGTTGGCGGGGTGGTGGTGATTATCATGATAAGATAGGAAGATAGGAAGATAGGGCGGGTGGGGTATTGAGTCTATGTTCGAGACAGGAATAAATCGATTACAGAGAAAGGGGAAAGAGGGTGGGAATGATGAAACAGAAAGACTAGGGCAAATTACTTGGATTTGGAAATTTGCCTTGCCATAAATGAAATGCGAAACAGAAGAGTCTTCCGAGATTATCGTCGCTCCATGTCAAACGAGTTGATCTCCCGATGGAACGGCTTCGGCGCACCCTTCGGCAGCAGCCACCCGGGGTGGCAGATGTTGAACACCGCGACGGCGATGACCATCATCACGCCGTCCAGGACGATGAAGTACACCTCGTGCGTGATGAGGTAGCCGGACCAGCCCTGCGACAGCTCGATCGTGCGGTAGATGCTCCGGACGTAGATGACGATCACCGACAGGATCATGGCGCCCAGCAGGGGCACCACGGAGCCGGTCATGGTCTGCAGGAGGCGGAGGCGCAGGGTGCGGCGCACGAAGTCGGCCGCCAGCAGGACGAAGACGGTGATCGAGGCCAGCTGGAAGACGATACCGGCCACCATGGTGTGCGTGCCGGGCTCGGTGTTGCCGTCGGCGCTGTTGTAGGCGATCGACGCCAGCCCGCCGCCGATGGCCTGCACGACCAAGGACACAACGTCGCAGGTGACGAAGATCCAAAGGTAGAGCTTGGGGCTCAGCATCGAGGTTTCCGGGCCCATCAGCGCGATGAACCTTCCCAGAAGAACGTAGATTCCCGCGGTGAAGAAGGTTGGGGCTGAAACGAGGTGTGGATTAGGGCCATGTTTGGTGTATGAGCCTTCAAGGAGATTGCGACGACTTACCGATGATCAGGGTGGAAATCTGCATCAGGAATGCAGTCGAGTTATACGGGCAGTCTGCAGACCATGTACGACCAGCCCAACCGATGAGTTCCGCTGCAAAAGAAGAACCTTGTTAGTTTCGCGCGCAAACCAGGCACAGAAAGAATCGCGATGGAGACCGTACTGGCACACCCGAGGACGAATACCGTACACCACCACGTCCTTTTCCACACCATCTGCACCAGATGCGCAAGCATTGAGACTCCAAAGAGCACGCAGAACACGATGCCTGCGGCCAGCGATGGCTGGTAGCCATATGATGTGCCGTACCCCTCCACATAAGCATGACAACCCTCCCTCAATGACTGGCGGAAATCAGCCTGAGCCACAAGCGTGCTGTTGCTCATCTTGATTGATCCCAGTCGACAGCCACAATAATCACAGAGATGTTCGAGCGTGTATCAGGACTCGTAGATGGATGGCGTGAACCGTTCTTATATCTGAAAACACACAGAGGCGAGAAAAAAAGGAGAAGATAAAAAGAGCTGCAGAGAAAATAGCATCGAGGCCGTGCTATATAAGACCAAGCGAAGGAACGGGATTACTCCACAGGGTGAACGGAATTGCTCCACCTGCGAATGCAGAGATGAGAAAGAGAAACAAGTGGCTGAGCCACAGACAAAACTCTCAGGGTCAGATCCGATTGTATGGAGCCAGGGTAAAGGTAAGGTACGTTGTGTACTGTACAACGCGCCGCGCGATCCTTCCAGAACCCTGGTTTCCAAGCCCATCCACGTTTGATCCTATTCGTATCACATCATTTCTGCCTAGAGGAGGGGGTCCCCTGTCCATTTCTCTCTGACCAACCCATCATAGCCAGCCTTGTAGAGAAAGACGGTGAAAATCTGTCCTACCTGAGAATCTGATTGATTTGTTTCACACCCCGGGGGGGAAGGCATGGTTCCTGGCCCGTTCCATTAGTAATTCAGGACCATGAAGAAAAACAAACCACTCATTCGCCGAATGTCCACGGTATTTTGAGCGAGACCCAAAAAAGAGAGCTGACGGGGGGGGATTGGCTGGTTCCATAGTTGCGCGGCGAAGATATGGACTCGCAAGGTACACCGAATCGGGTTTAGATTGTCACCTAACGCCTAAGGATTGCCGAAGCTCCCGAGAGAGCCACGGCCGGGACATTTGTTAGGCGAATCACCACCGCCGAATGCCGTTGTTGCATAAAGTGTCCGCTTGTCTCGTGGGATGGAGCAGTGACCTGTCGTTGCCAGCTGCAGCTGCAGTTGGCCAAGGCCACACTGCGTGAGGGCTCGTTTCAGCGCCCAGACCCTTTCAGCTTCGTCGGTCGGGATCTCACTCTCATCCTAATCCGGCTGACGTAGGGGGAAAAGTTGACAGGGAAGCGGAGATCGGGAAGATCAAACCCCGATGTCAATGACTCGTGTCAACAACAAACAACAAAAGCTAAGTCTCCATGCAGGACGTGATACGTACGCCCTTGACGGTGATGCTATACTTTCAATGGAAATTCAAACAAATATGGCAGCCTGATCATTGTCGAGCCTGTGTGTTCCGTGTGGCAGTGAGTTGAGGGACGGTGATGGAGAACTCCGTGAGCCGCTCTGATGTCAGCTTCACTTGAAGGATTCATGCGCTGCCTCAGGCTTCTACGGCCGGTCCCGCCGCTACTCATCGCAAGCTTCTACGTATTGGGAATGGTGGACGACGCTCAATAGGAAGCCATGTCCCTTAGCGATCATAGCCTTCAAGCCCCCATTGCCCCTACTTACGTCTACCTTGCTATAGATCTCCACAAAGAAATGAATCTGAAAACTCTATTAACTATCGATTGTCTGAAATCTCATGACTCATAATTATCCGACAGCCTCTTTGGTCAATTCAATCGAAGGAGGGCGTCTCATAGGTTCCTTCGGGGTCTATACACAACGATCAGTACGGGTTCCGAGGGTCAAGAGTTTGGGACTTGGAAGGGGAGGTTTGCTTACCCTGCCGGTTCTTGAGGATATACTTGCGCGTCTCAGCTATCTCGTGGCCGAGCTCCGCACACAGCTCCTGCTGGCGTACCTGGACTCTCTCGTTTCGTCGGGAGGCCCCAATGACAGCAGCCTGCGCCACGTGGTAACGTGAAACGTGGTTCAACAGCATCATGTCGAACGGAGTCGTGGTACTGCCTTCTTCCATATATCCTTCGATGGTGACCCGGTCCAGACCAGGCCGGCCGAAGAGCAGCCCCTTCAGCTCAGTCGGGTATCCGTGGTAGTTAATGTGAATGGGTCGGTCGGATCCGAACAGGCTGTCAAAGGCTTCCGTCGTCAGAGCATGCGGGTGCTGCCCGTGGTTCTCGAGGATCATCAGGTCCGTCACGTTCACAACCCGGACTCGGAGTTCGGGGCAACGCTTGCGGAGGATAGCCGCCGCAGCGATGACTTCAAACATCACCTCGACGCCGATGCCGACAAGCACAACATCAGGGTCCAGACCCTCATCAGTGCTGCAGAACTTCCAGATCGACGCACCCGCTCTGCAGTGGTTCTCGGCTTCCTCTGGACTAAGGTACACCGGTGTTGGCTGCTTGGAGCCCACCATCAGGTTGATGTAGTTCTTGGACTTGAGACAATGATCAAGCGTGGATAGGAAGGTGTTGGCATCAGGTGGCAGGTACACACGGGCGGCCGTGGGTTTCAGCTTGAGGACTGCACCAATAAAGGATGGGTTTTGGTGCGAGAATCCATTGTGCTCTTGCCGGGCCCAAGTGCTAGTCTCGATGTAATTGAGACTGCTCACTGGGCTGTGCCAGGATGTCTCTTGAGCCTACTAAAATCAGTATCCAAGGGCAACAGACAAGAGTGGGCTCGTCAACTCACCATTTTGTTGAACTTGGCGTACTGCACCATCATCGTATGGATGATGCCCAGGAAACTCTCGTAGGACGGGAAGATACCGGTGCGGCCGGTCAAGGTGTAACCCTGCATGAAGCCCTGGCACAGATGTTCACTCAGCACCTCGATGACGCGACCACCTTTGGCATTCGAAAACTGATCCCATTGAAAGTTCCTTCCGGTGTGCGACAGAGCAGCGTCGAGCTTGTTACTCTCCAGCTCATCCGGGGAGAATAGTCGGACACTGTGTGGGTTCTTGGTGAACACTTGGTCGATCAATCTTCCAATCGCCTTCATAGCACTCTCTTGGGTGCCCTTTTCCACGCCTAGCTCCTTCCAGTCAGGGAGCTCCGGTGCCATGTACCCCTTGTAGGCCTCAGCTCGCTGGCCCAGCTTCTTTTCGTCGTCTGCAGGAATCACCGACTTGATCTCATCGATAATATCACCGCCTTCAGTGAACAGCTCGTCAGGACCATAAGCAGAGAGCCACTTCTCCAGAGCAGCCAGCTCCTCGTCGTCTTTCTTCGCGTTTGGGAGAGGCACCTGGTGCGAATGGAATGAACCTTCGATGAACGTTCCATGAAGCTCCTTGGGTCCAGACCAGCCCTTGAGAGTACAGATTAGCTTTCCCCGATCATCAGCAGATTAACCATTTATGAGCCTACCTTTGGTGTCCGCAGCACAAGCATCGGCCAACGAGGCTTCATGATTGGCTTGCCTGAACGTGCCGCCTCCTGAATCTTGTGGATCTCATCAACCGCCCACGCCATGGAGTTGTGAAGATCGGTGTCGATGTCCTCCAGGTTCTCAACAATGCGGACTTGGTAACCGTAACCCGTGAAAAGAGTGATGAGTTCCTTGTTGTCCATGCACCCGAAGATAGTGCGCTCGCTGATCTTGAATCCATTGACGTGGAGGATGGGCAAGACGGCGCCCGACTCAGCAGGGTCAATGTACTTGATGGCGTGCCACGAGCTTGAAACACCATTAGCATCAGCATCACGCCAACCAATGGATGACGACCACCGGATGAGATGGACTTACGTGGCTGTCGGACCGGTTTCCGCTTCTCCATCGCCAACCACACAGGTGACAATGAGATCCGGGTTATCCATGACCGCACCGAATGAGACAGCTAGGGCATAACCCAATTCACCACCCTCATGAATCGCACCGGGAGTTTCTGCATTGATATGGCTGTGGAGAGGAGAGAAAAGGAGGTCAGCAACATGTCTACCAGGACCGAACCTCGACCGGGAGAAAAATCGTTCTCGTTACCTAGGAAGTCCAGCACTCGTGCTGAAGGTCGAGATGAGTTGACGGAGACCGTCCATGTTGCGCGAATACTCGGGGTAGAATTTGCCCAATGAGCCTTCCAGCCAGAGGGAGGCCAGCAGAGCCGGAGCGCCGTGGCCTGGTCCAACCACGTAGAGCATATTCAGATCCTGCTTCCGGACCAGGTAGTTCAGATGTGAGTACACCAGGATCAGCCCCGGACATGTACCCCAGTGACCTGCGGAGATAGTATGAGCTGCTGCTGCTGCTGTGGCTTTGGAACGGAACCGGTGGAACCGGTATGGGGGTAAACTCACCCAGGAGCCGAGGCTTGATGTCCTCATGCTTCAGTCCACGTTTCAGCAGCACATTATCCTGAAGAAAGATCATCGCTGTAAACACAATCAGTCATTAGCTTATGTTTGTGCGACAATGGTGGTGATAGATTGGCTGGCTAGCTTACCAGCAGCGATGTACGCCGCCGCACGACGATACTTCTGCAAAGCATTGTAATCTGATTCCTCCAGCTTAGTTGTCTGAAGTTGAACCTGCAATTGTTCGACGAGATCTGGGATGTGGGATGGTTCCGGCTTGGGATTCGGCCGATCGATGACTTCTCCCGGCATGATGGGCTGATACAGTAGGGGAGATGGCTGGGCTTATCGCGATAAGGTAACGGAGAAAGTAGGAAGCGAGTCGTAGGAGTATACGCGGGGATTGGATAAATCCCACGTGGAGGACAGTAGGGTAAGTTGATTAGACAAAGACAGGCAAAATACAGAGAGATATCAGACCACCAGGCTCATGGGAGGGGAGATGCAGCTTGAAATAAGTCCGGTGTTGACAAACCTGACATTGTATCCTGTCCGACTCTCCCTACTATTTTTTTTTTCTTTGGCTTCCCGCTACGTCACCTGGTGAAGGGTCTCTGACATCACCCAACCACTTTCGCTATCTTTCTCCCCACCAATCTTCCAGAGCTACGAACAACTTCCAAGAACTGCCCTGCCCACCTGCAAGATCATACATGCAGTCAGACCCATCCGGTAATGCAACTCCGAGATTTCGAACATTAGACAAGTACATATAACCATAGGGCCGGCCTAGCCAGGAATTGACGGACTCTTCGAACTGCTGCATAGAGATAGATCTCCTTGCATCGTGTACATACTTACATACCCCGCCTAAAGATCCCCCTCTCTTTTCCCACTACGCACACCAATCACTCATACCTTAATTCAATAATTCATTTCCCCTTCCCTTCACCATGCCCCGCAAGTCCATCCTCTCCGTCAATGCCGGCTCCTCCTCGGTCAAACTCACCTTCTACACCTTCGAGCAGAACCCCAAGGTGATCGCGACCGCGCAGGTCTCCGGCATCACCGCCCCACCGGCCAAGCTGAAGTACACCTGCGGCGAGAAGAGCCACACCGAGGAGATCGAGGAAAGCGCCGGGACCCCGCAGGACGCCTTCAAGTTCCTCCTCGACCGCTGCGTCTCCGACCCGGGACTGTCGGAAGTCGGCAGCAAGGACGATCTGGCCTACATCTGCCACCGCGTCGTCCACGGGGGTGACTTCGATTCCTCCGTCGTGATCACTGACGAGACCTATCACCATTTGGAGGAATTCGAGGACCTGGCTCCTTTGTATGTTCTCTCAGAAATCCAATCATCCGTTCCAAGGCACAGAAATAGAAGCTCCCCGCTGGCGTGCAATATTAGTGTTTCCTACCGTCCAAACTTACACCAACGGATCACAGACACAACTTCTCCGCCTTGGAAATCATCCGTCACTGCCGGACCGAGATCCCCGACGTGAAAAGCATCACCTTCTTCGACTCGGCATTCCACCAGACGATTCCCGAGCACGTGCGCACGTACCCCATCGACCCGGAAGTCGCCAAATCCAAGGGTCTCCGGAAGTATGGCTTCCATGGCATCAGCTACTCGTATATCCTGCGATCGGTGGCGGGATTCCTCAACAAGCCCGTCGAGCAGACCAGCGTGATCGCGATGCATGTCGGAAGCGGCGCCTCGATGTGTGCGATCAAGGATGGCAAATCGGTCGATACCACGTAAGAGAGATGCTTCGCTTGCAGTTTGACTGTCGGTTGATGTCGGTTGAGTCAGACACTAACGCTTGTGCGCAGGATGGGCTTGACTCCTCTGGCGGGACTGCCGGGCGCGACGCGAAGCGGAGATATTGATCCATCGTAAGGGAGAACCCCGCCCGCCTTTTGGAGCACAGAACAAGGCTAACGAGACAATGTGACCAGACTGGTATTCCACTACACCAGCGAAGCAGGCAAACTGAGCCCGGCCAGCACCAAAGAAATGCACATCAGCACGGTATGCAATCCTCGGGGCTCTGCGCAACCAACCTGTGAGAAGTGCAGCGTAAGCGCAGCTAACCCCTCATTCTAGGCCGAAGAAATCCTCAACAAGAAGTCCGGTTGGAAGGCCCTGACGGGAACCACCGACTTCTCCCAGATCGCCGTCGAGAACCCCCCGAGCCCCAGCCACAAGCTCGCGTTCGACATCGTCGTGGACCGCATCCTCGGCTACATCGGGAATTACTACCTGAAGCTGGGCGGCCAGGTCGACGCCCTCGTGTTTGCGGGTGGCATAGGCGAGAAGAGCGCTCTCCTGCGGAAGGCGGTGATCGAGCGATGCCAGTGTCTCGGTTTTGCCATCGATGAGGCGTCCAACGACAGGGGCCCGGGCGAGGGCCAGACGGTGGTGGACGTTTCCAAGGCTGGTGGTTCCCAGGGACCGCGGGTGCTGATTTGCCAGACCGACGAACAGGTGAGTGAAACCGTCTCCCACTGTCTTGAACGAGGGCGGAAAGATGGGAGGCTGACACTCGGGGGATTGAATTCTTGCAGTACGAGATGGCACATGGATGTGTTGAGAAGTACGGCACGAACACCAGCTCGTGATTTCTTTGGTGAATCTGATGGAGGAGCGAAATCGCCATGACCTATAACTTAATGATGATGATGATGATGAGGATGCTTATAGCTGTTTCAGTCCAATTGAGACATTGAAGCCCAACACTCCCTCCCCTGACTTACCGTAGCCGTGTGCAGCACACCAGACTGGTCCAGGGAAATTCAAACCGTCAACTCCGGTACCTGGAAGTATCCAAGACACTCATTTCCAGGTCTTGGAATCACAGAGCACCAGCAAGGATACTTTCCAGGCATGGTATCTGGAAGCGAACGCGAGCCATGTCTCTGGTCGGTTTGAGACAGCGAGGAACGCGAAAGGAGACGCATCATGTCGCCAAAGACAGAAGTAACACCGACAGCATCCATGTAGTGTTGGGACTGTAGATGAAGAGAAACAGCCAAGTCAAACTATCTTCAATCTGTCTCGACTGTTCGAATGGATGTTGTGCACCAACCCTGCCCACTGGCCTCGTTATACGAAGTTAAGGTCAAGTTGTTTAGACCTCTTCACCCCGACCACACCCGATCCACACTAGCAGCCAAACAGGGATTACCTAGTAGTTATAGTTATAAGCAGACCTTAGAATCCTAACTAGGTAGTTAAACTTAATAGCTTACCTCCCCTACCTATGAGCACTAACCACCGTAACCCAGGTCTAGCCGGTACAGCACAAACAGCCACTGAGACCCTGACTCAAGCAAAAAAAGCTAGTCAACTAAGTTAAGCGCCTGTCAAAACCTGTACCCTGTACCCTGCCCCCTACTTCCGCCCCCCATCCCCCAAAAAGCACACCAGAAAAGCGATTCCAGGAACTGATTGAGACATCGGCCCATCTCGCAACACAACAACCTACTAACCTAGTAAACTTGCCCTAACCTAAGACAAGCACCGCACCACACCCCCCCCCCAAAACGCCTCCAGCATCTGCATCTAAAGTACCCGAAACCTGCATCTGAAGTATCTATCGCCCACCCAGCAACCCGGATGGGAAATCCACGCAGAAAAAAAAGCAAAAGTCGGAACGGGACTACACAGCCCCGGGAACCAGGAAGCTCCGTAAACAGGGTACTAGGTCGATAGGTACAGTACTGTACGGTAGTAGGGAAGCTGTAACTTACTGCATCCTCCCACCAACCGATGCAAATCCGGACTTCCCCCCGAGATCTCACCAAATTGCCGCCGCGTCAAGGAAGAATTGGAACGGGGAAGTTCCTATCCGGACGAATGATATTACGGCCTACGGGTAGTATCTGTAGCTAGCACTCAAGGTCAGAGAGAAAAAAAAAAGAGCAAAGAAAAGAAAAGAGGCAGACCCCAGCTCCAGCTCCAGCTCCAGCTCCACTGCGGTAGGAGAAGGGGAAATTGTATCTAGGGAAGAGAAGCGCGGAAGATCAATCGGTAACTAACTTATCCGGATGTGATGATCACGATCCCACCAGTAGGTTTCCCTACCTACCTGTCAGGAATGTTTTGGCATATCGAGGAGTCAAACAAGTCGGGGATCAATTGTTGCTTGATTGATAGGCAGATACCGTTGGATAGATATGCCTCAATGGGTTGGAAAACCAGTCCACCCATTCGTGATAATAACACTTGCAGCAGAGTAAATGTTGAGGTTGTGTAAATCCCTCATTGCAATTCGCTCCCCTTGCATTGAGTCGGACTGAGTCAAGGGAAATGATAACTTATGGTCGATATGACGGTAAGCACAGCAAGCAAGCCGAGAGGAAGCTGCGCGATTTTACTGAATCCTTCCCCCTGTGGCGCTGGCGCTGATTCAATTGACAGATTGATTTACTGGAGACCCTTGCTCCTGATATACTGATGTGTACATTGACCAGTAAAGTTATGCATCCGATAGGAATTCTAAATCTGCACGATCACCATCTCCCTCTTATTGTACTCGTAAGTAACCCCCTTGGGACCACTGCTAAGTGCTGTACATACCGATACATACCCTGCAGCGGAAGATCAGATTGGATCTCTGGAAAGAGTCTAGAACTTTTATTCTGGCAGATCAGAATATTCCCCAAGAGAGTGACAGAGGGAGGGTTTGCTGGTTCTGCTTCTTTGTGGGCGCTACGTACTGTACGTACCCCGTAACTAGTATTCCAGGCTCGAAGCGCTGGATGGATAGACGCAAGTTTCCCGTGGGAGAGAGACATGGGTATTGACTGGGTTGGTTGGTTAGTTCAGCCCAAGGGCTTACTCCCTCTCAGACCAGGAACCGAGTCAGTAATTAGACCCTGTGTTGAGTATGGAGGAGTAGGTTAGAAGTTCGGTATGCCATCCCACTCATCTCATGCCCAGCCATCATCCACCTGTTCTGGGCTGGTCCAGGCATCTTTCTTTCTTCCCTTCATAAGCCACACCAACATGACCACCGGTATTCTCAATGAAAGAGAGACACCAGGCGTGAACTCACGGTTTGTTCACTGTTCACTTAGTGTAAAAACCAATCTCTTCCAGAATCTTCCTCTTCCTCTTCTTTGTTCTTTCCTCTTTTTTCCCTTTAGATCACAATCTCAAGCCGAGAATGGCGTGAACAGTGGCTGTTCCTTCCCCCCTCCGCCTCTCTCTTTTGGCGCTGCCTACGGTACGGGAAGAGACAAGAGAAATTCCCCGTCATGAGACCTATCATTTCCAAAAAAGTGATTTACATCTGCTGTATGGATGCTATGGCCTGCCTAGCTTCACCCGCGCCCCCCCAAAAAAGCCGGCCCGACACTGAGGGCCAGCACGTAGATCATCTCCCCGAACCGGGAAACGCAGTCGATCCTCCAGGAGCGGGCTAACGGGGGACCCGGGCGGCGGCGGCGGGCTTTGTTACTGTCTGTGTGTGTTGTGAGGCTGGGGTGAGGGGGAGGGGGAGGGGGAGGGGGAGGGGGAAAGACCGGGGAATGGGGGAGAGCGAAGACAACGGCGATCAAAAGCAAGAAGCCGGGTGTGGGTAACAGGCGATAGGTTGCAGATTAGTGGACTTTACAGAGAGATACTCAATAGATCAATGATTCCCAGCACTAAAATCATCCGGTAAACTAGCTAGCTATAAGTTACTGGTGGACTGCCGGTGCACTACCGTACTCCAAAAGTCTTTCTCTATCCCGATCGGTCTTCTTGCCTATCATCAATATGTCTCCGAGAGAGGGAGAGAGAGTACCCTGGGTGGCTGGCTAAGGTGTCGCCCCCCCCAAAACGGACATTGAAATCGGGGCTCGGGACGGGGAAAGGGAGGGAGGGAGGGAATGGGGATGGGTCGAGGTTCCAGTGTGGCGGGTGGATGCGTTAGTCTGGAACTGGGGAAACAAGAAAGAGGACCCCAGCGAACCATTGATATATTTCGGTAGTGAAGGAGTAGGGTAAGTGGAATGGGGCATGGGAGCAAATCGAAAATGATGCTCTTGATGGATAATGATAAGTTAATGATGATCAGAGCGCCAAAGAAGAAACCAACCACCAGAAAAAGCAAAGAAAGTGCCCGTAATTGAGGACGGCCCAGATCGAAGGGCAGGCAATTCAGACCGGTTCGTAATGAGCCGACCGATCAGTTCCCTCTTCTAGAACGCCATCCCGTGACTGCAGCGACGCTAATCCCTCCGGCTGTGGTTCCGCGGATTTCTTGAGGTAGGGTTATCGATTCGTTACCGTCGGTCTTACTTTACGACCCCTGATCCACCCAGGAAGGGAGAAGGCGAACACATCCTTGCCCCGTCGGGTGTCGAACGAGAGCAGAGTAGGGTAGGTGATTGATACCGACCGTATGTAATCTAACTCAAACTCCAATTGCAAATTTACTCCTCCAATCTCTCCCATCTTGCCCAGATGGGTTCATCCTTGAAACTAGGTCAAGTCCAGAGCAGACAAGAAGGGCGGGCTGCCGTGGTTTGACATGAACGGGAAGCATTTCCCAGGGATCTACCTGGCACTGTCGTCAATTGACAGGTGCTCTTGCACCGTGAAGGAGAACGTGTCTATCAGTTCCGCGTATCCATCATATCCATCGAGTGAGACACAGGCACACACACATAGAGAAGATCCGGTAGATCATATCAAGAAAGAGGTACTTTTGCACGAGTACGGTGCCGTGCTGATGATAGCAGATGCCAAAGCCTGGTGTTCGCCATCCATGCGACATACCAAACTAGCAACCCACACATACAATCATGTCCGACTGCGATAATCCCAGTCGCCGCTTCTGCAGTATAACTAAAACCTTACTAGCATACCGATGCCATCATCCTCCCTGCATGGGTCGCGATCCCACCACCGCCCCCCCTGGCCTGCTGCAAGGTAGCTCCCTCCCAATGGCGAACAGACCTCTTGTCACTAACCACTCACTAACGTTATGTACTACCTGCCTGGGCTACCGATTTTATTTACCTTTTGGGTTTCACAGCAGATCGGTCGATCATCCCATGGCTTTATTTACCCCATCCGGTACACATGTCCTCTTTTTCTGTCTGCTTCGATTGATCTGCTGCAGAACACAGATTCCCCGAGCGGGCGGCACAGAACGCCGCAGCAGCTTGCATGCGGCCACAGTAACTTTTCCTTTCTTGTTTCTGTATTTTTCTTTTTAGTCCAGTAGATACAGCAGGCAGATCAACCTTGTTTCAACGGATACCTGACAGTTTGCAGGTTGTGTGGCTAGTGCTCCAGAGCGAGTAACCTGCCCGCGGCAATCATTCCACTTTCCTGATTCGCAATACTTCTTCGATATATCGCATATCGCGTACTTGTGCATTGGGCCTAATTTTTCAGTAAGAATATCAATCAAGTTACATACTTAGCCAAGTTAGTGCATTATCCGATGTTGCTGGACGAGACTGGATGTGTTTTGAGATTGGAAGACGATCGGGGAGAGAGATCCATACAGGCGATCGGAGAGTTGATAGATCCGCGTGGTTAGAGACACAACACTACGGGATGCTCAGTAGTCAGTAGATAGACTACAGTACTTGGTAGATACCGACTGACGATAGCGTAACTCCAGAAAATCAGTCAGTCACATGCCCACGTTCCCGAGTCGGAGCTAGGTCAAATCAATCAGGCTCGCGCCTTCGGTTGCAATGTCTCCTTACAGTACAGAGTACACCAAGGCCC